ATATTGGTGAAATCTGCAACTCAAAACCCAAACAAGACAGTTTTGCACATTCCACATAGAGTGTTTGTTTGTGTGGTGTGCATTTGGGATTTGTTGTACAAATGAATGTGTGTATCTTTAGTGGTTTGTGATTTAAAGGTCAGGAGTCTAGCAGACTGGGAGTGAGAAGTTGGCTCCAGTGATGTGTTAAACACATCTTCTCCACTATAAGCAACAATAAACACTCAGTTGTGAAAATGTTTGAGTACAGGTAGACACTACTAAACGTGTTCACCTTTCACCCATATCCGTCTTAATAAGCTAAGGACGATATTTTTGGTTAAATGTTGTATAGTTGAGGTTTACGGAGACAGGGCGTCCTACCCATTTGAGCAGCTAATGCTGAGTAAAAGTCACAGGGATGAGCTAAGATTTGGTTTGATTTGTTGTGCATGCTGGGATGGCTCAGCACTATCTATCATTGTCATTCAGGTAGCCATGGTATCACTGTTAGTGTCAGCATCAGTGTGTGTCAGCTGGTATCCCTCACTGGTATCTATGTCTGTGAGGCCTACACAATTTGACCCTGACCCTGTATCTCCCCTGTTTCCCACACCTCTGTCTCTAGATGTCTGTGTGTGTGTGTGTGTGTGTGTGTGTGTGTGTGTGTGTGTGTGTGTGTGTGTGTGTGTGTGTGTGTGTGTGTGTGTGTATTGCCAGTACAAACCCCCAAATTCCCCAGCATGTTGGTGGAATTTCGACTATTTTTCCAGGTCACCGTTGTTTGTGCCTTGCGAGGTGTGTCTGTAAATTCCCACACAGGGAGGGAGATAAACACACTCACACTGTCACAAGCATATACAAGCCTCGTCACATTGCAGCCCACACCTTGTAAGGTGAAGAATTCACCGCGACTAACTGTCTTAAATGTCTGTCTCAAATGTCCTTTAACCCTAATGGCGGCTGCCTGTGAGCCGAACCTGCAAAATATTCAACACTAAGCTTGACTTCTGGCCTAACAGTGAGAGAGTCATATCACAGATACATTGGGGATGACAAATTGGTGCTGTGTCAACTCATGGAAAAACCATTGAGGTCAACCTGCATGCGGTCGTATGTGTCAGTCATTGGAGCAATTATAGAAGCACTCGAAATGTTTTACATGTTACCCCTTTTTGGAAATGACAGAGCAAAGCTTGCAGTTTTTTCTGTACGTTTTTGGAGATAAGTGTTTTGTGTCATGATCCCCTTATTCCCTCAATGCAGACGTATAGCAATCCATACTTTCTCTCCCTCTCTGTCTCTACACCCCTCGGGTCCTGGCAGGTCACGTAAATATTAGTCTGAGCTCCCTAATAAATCTCCACCTCCTACTGCTCCCACAGCCTCCCAACCCAAACCTGTTCCCGACAAAGCTGCACAATCAAGTACCTAATGGCTGACACCCTTCCCATCAGATAGAGACAGAGCCAAAGGATAAAAGATGAATTGAATGGTTGACATTGTAGGCAGCTACACTGAAGGCCTGCATTTAATCCAGCAGAGCAGGTGGTCTTTATATAATAAAATCAACCATTTGCTGGCCAGCCAGAGAAGAGCTTAGCTACATGAGCAAGCCGTTAATGTTTAGAAGGTGTCATCAGGCGACGGATCGGTGGGGGTTGCTCATAGTGCTGAATGTTCCCTGTTGATGCACCTACACTTTCTGACCCCTGACCTCAACCAGACTCGGGACAAAAATTACCCAGGTTCTACTGTGCCTCAGGGGTTAACTCATCCCACCACACTTTCTGGTCCAAAACTGTGAGTGACAGAGTAGAAGAGCTGGCTAACATACTCACGGTTCTACCAGACAGGTGATAGGTGAGCTCAGGGGGCACTGAGGGGGTCCTATCGTAGCCTGCAGGTATGTACGTGTGAATGTGTGTGCGAAACAGATCGCATGGCTGACACCCGGACCACCCCAAGGTGAATGTTATTGGAAAAAATTGTGCGTGAGGTCTACGGCTAGATTCCCACAGACAGAAGCCTATATCAGAGTTGGAGGGAGGCGGTCAGAGGGATGTGGCAGGTGGGGCGAGTAATGATGATGAATTGTGGGGAACACGGGTCTTTCTGCCCAGATTAGGATCTGCTGATAAACATGCCTGTCAGGTCTCTAGGTAACCCTATACATTTCTCTCTCCCCTTCATCCATCCATGTGACTCCTCCTTCTTATTGTGTGAAACCTCTTATTTTTTTCTATCGCTGAGTTCAAGACGGATTTTAGATGTTTTAGTCAACTGACACAGTGTAGGTGGTGGTGGTCTGCCATGTCCATGTACCTCCAGGCTATGCATGTGTGTGTGTGTGTGTGTGTGTGTGTGTGTGTGTGTGTGTGTGTGTGTGTGTGTGTGTGTGTGTGTGTGTGTGTGTGTGTGTGTGTGTGTGTGTGTGTGTGTGTGTGTGTGTGTGTGTGTGTGTGTGTGTGTGTGAGTGAATGAGTGTGTTTGTATGCATGTTTGTGTATGTAATCAGAGTGTGGTGTGTCTTCTATTCTCAGGGTTGTTGTCATTTGGCAAACAGAGCTAAGACTGACATGATTTACAGCCTGGACATATAGTTGATAAATCTACATAACTGTCAGTACTGAGACAGATGTGGATGATAGTGAGAGAGAACAGACGTAAAGATGACACAGTTGAGAATAACTGTGTTGATACTATATAAATAATTGAGCTGCCTAACAGTCTAAAGTTACTGCAGCAATGTGTGTGTGAGTATAAAGATATGGCCACATAACGTTTCCGTTTGACAATTTTGCCTCGTGCTGTGTCCTGGAAAAGGGGATGATGTAATGGTTATGAAAAAGGAAATATTGATCAGGGTAACCAACCACAGAATAAAACAGTGTACGAGAGTGTACACATGATAACATCTTCTACAATTCCAAACCTTGTGCAGCACTGCTTCTATTGGCCAACCAAACACATACATTTGGTCAATGTTGAGAAACATTCAAGTGTTATCATCTTATAGGACAGAAGCATAGAAGATGTTAAACAATAAGGGCTATTAATTTTAGAGAATTTAAATTTAGCTGAACCAAAGTTTGAGCTGGAGGATTTTGACTGTGATTTGGTCCCAGTCAGATAACTTGGCCTTGCTGTGGAATTAAAGGATACTTCTGGTTATTTCCAACTTGGATCTTGAGTCTTAGCTACCAAGTACGTTTCTGCGATCTGAAACCAGGGATGACATTGCAACAATGGATCCATACATGCAAGACATTCATTGTAAATATGTACTGTACATACTACCACTTTTCTAAACCACTTAAACACGCAAGTGAGCCCACTCACAATGCCCATAATATTCAGACATGAACCAATACTGATTTCATATAAAGGTCAGGTACGCACTACGCACTCAAAGAGCTGGATCGGGTACCATGATAATCGGCTGATCTGGTATCTGAAAACTCAGTACAAAGTACATTTACATCTATGTATAACTTTGTTGTCAATTGTTTTTTTTTCAAAGTTCAGTAAGCAATTTTGCCTTACACTATAAATAATAATCTTAGTCTCTTAAAAATAGCTGGCATGTCATCATATATGATAGAAATTCAAAACGTATTCAAGTTGAAGATCTCCTATGTGGTTTAAAGCCATATCTGTGCCCTCAGCAAGTGCAATCTCTCTGGCCTACAGCACTGCCTGCCAGCTGTGAAGACTAATGGTTTGTCTGTGAAACCCTGCAGCAGGAATGTTCTCAGTCTGGCATCCAGGACACAGATAGACTCTGCCACAGAAGGCTGACACTAGAATAGTCCCAATGACTGGAATTGCTTCATAATATTACCCTGAGGCACAATAAAGCTTATCTTATCTAATGATATGGGCCTCCTGTGACTATTAAAAGACCTCTTCTAAGATGTTGAGGGCTCTTTTTGGGGCGGCTGGTTGACTGAAAGTAAATAATGATATTAGTCCAATGAAACTTTGATTATAAAGCAGTATCACATAAAAAGAGATTGTATTGATTGAAGGGACTCAATTTTGTATTTTCAATGTCCTTCGCCTGTTTTTCTATATCCGAGTGTGTTTCTGCTTCCTGTATCAAGGTACCTGCAGGGCAGATCCTTGTATTTCCTGTGTCATGGAATTAGTTTGTCCAATCAGTCCTGAACATGAATGCATCCTGTCCCAATCCTGGGCATGGAGAGATTATCTTATCACTGGCACACATTGCCCAACACGGCATACAGGGTTAGAGCTTTACAGAAGAAAACGTTTGCTGAGTAAAAAGGTAATGAATAAATGATTAAGGCATCTATGCAGTTCTGTTGCACGTCTTAAGTTGGCCATTGTGTGTGTGCAATATTCCTTTGAATTCATGTTATCAGGATTCTCTGGGCTCTAATGTAACAGAGATTGAACTGGACTGAGAGTCTGGGGAGCAGAGGGGGCTGAGGCAGAGAAGATTGCTGGAAAGTATTCCCTTTGATAAGCCGGCCAAGAAGCCTTTGATTAAATGTGGTCCCAGCAGGAGCCCACACTAGGTCCTCTGTGGCACGACCATGTCCAATCACCAGCTATCAACAGCCCAGAGTAATTACAGCCATCTAGTCATTAGCCTGGGACCCACCTGGAATTCCACATAGCGAGGGATGGGATGAGGCCAGCAGGGGTTGGGGTTTAGGTTGGGCCTTTAATCAAACACTTCCCTCCCCTTGACTGATGTAACGCACCCCACCCCAACTCACACAGAATCAGCCTTTGTTACCGGCACAGATTGTATTATCACTGCCCCAGTGTCTCTCAACTCATGCTGGTGAGTAGCGGCGATGGTGTGTATATATGTGTATGTGTGTGTGATGGGAATAACATGGCAGGTTATTACAGCAATACAAGGGAACTTGCTCACTATCCTGCGCGGTCACACTGATTAGTTCTGCTCTGTCTGCACCTAGTCTCTTTTTTTGCCTTCAATCTTTTTGTTTGTCTGTCCGAACAAAAAACAAAGATTTCAGTGTTGTACTAATGCACCATATATTTCATATGAACAAGGCAATATACACAGTTATACAGGCAAGCTGAAGAGCAGAGAAGGGAAAACAGTCTGATGTTGTAGTTATGTGTGACTCAATGACCATCCAGGCCATCTCCTTTTTCTTCTTTTTTCTCCTCAGCGGCAGTTCGTCGTCTCACACACTGAAACTAGAGTACACTGTATAATCATAATAATGGGAGTGCTTTTCTCTATCCTCTTGTCAGCCAATGTAGTGCAGTCTCATCCGCAGATGAGAAATGAAACAACACTTAACAATTTAAATAAATCTCTTTAAAAAGCATTTTTTTCCTCTCTTGTTATACAGTTGCATTCAAAGTCCCAATGATGCATCTGTCCATTTATTCATCTAGTGTCCATCTCCTTGTCTTCTTGTAGTCCATAGCCTGGACTTCTGCTTGTCCACACAGAGTCAAACGCATGCCTAGATTATCACTTCTCAAAGTGCACTTGTCAAGCTACTTCCCAAAGTCCAACCAAGTGTTCGTTTTGGGTAGAAAAGAGTAACAATTATGCGAGTATATGATGTTGTTGTATTAATACTGAATACGTTTGAAGGCTCAGTTAATATAAAAATGTGTCTTTAAAGCATCATGAAAGCAGCAAACCATTCTTAACCCAGAGCCACACGGTAGAGAAAAGGCCATCTGGACTAATTCTTCAATAAAAGCCCAATTCACCCAAACCCCAAAGTTTTCACTGGTTTCACCGTTCATCCCAGCAGTTCAGTCACAGGGCCATTCACGAACCGGGGCTTCTGGGTGTTCATTCATATTGATGGGTACTGAATTCTAGTGCTTTCACAGAGACAGGTTGAAAAGCCATGCAATGATGAACCAAGATGGGGGCAGGGGAGGGCGGAGACGCAGAGCACTTTTATACAATCTTTCCCAGAATGCCATGTTCCACAGGATGTCCTGTAGTAAAGGGAAAAGGGGCGGGGTTGTATTACAGGGGGCAGCGGGGCGTGTCCTCAGGTCTGTTCCAACCATTCAGCTCGTTTGGGAGCTTTGCACGTGTGTATGTCCACAGCTTCCTCACAGTCCTTACACTCCACGGCGCAGCACCATTTGAACTTGCACTCACACTTGGTGATTTGCTTGACTCTTGTGGTGTCGTAGCCCCGCCCACAGCACATGACCTCACAGCCATCTGTGCCACGTGATGTCTTATTGCAGACTCGACCAGCCGTTCCCAGGGAGCCTGCATAGAGCACAAAAGAGGTTGGATATTAAAAACTAAAAGTTAACTAAAGCAAGTTTCTGGTCTGCTATGTTTTACTTCCCTGCCCGTTATTCTTAAGAAAACAACAACTGGCGAACAATTGTCTATTGTCCTCATATAATGATTGGATGCATCAAATAGTCAATCAAAAAGACAATATATTAGCAACACTTCTGATATTCGATAAATTGTTTGAAGAGCTGAATAGATTCAATTAGTGTAATATTGGACTTGTAGATGTTACTACCAGCAATTGTGTCTGTGCAGCTTTTTGATGGTCCTTCTGTAGTTGTTTTCACCAAGAAAGAGACATTGTAACCGTCAAAAATGTCCAATAATTTGACCCAAATGTACAGTGTGGACGCTGACTTTAATGGTTTGCCCAGCTACTTGAAAGATGACAATTAACCCATGATGACAATCTTTGGCTTAGGGCAGCTAAAACATAACCATCTCTGCCTAGACAAATGTTGTTGACCTCAATATACTGTTAACAAGTTTAGGTTCTGGGAATGGGCTTCTGGTTATTTGCATCAATACAATATAACAGTTGTAGTTTACCTTTAGCTTTTCATTTGGTTGGATGTTGGATCTGCAGTAGCATGTCAATCGAGTGTATGGTAGTGTTTCACATTCTGGCTATTACCTAATGCAATGGCATATAGTCTGTGTCTTATGTGAATGTCATCCCCACAGAGATTAGTTCTGGTGTTTTGTGTGAGAAGGTCCCTGTTTGAACTGCTACCTATCACAACAAGCTGCCCATAGAACAACAGACCCACACACACAACTATGCGGTGTTGGTAGAGTGGCCTATAGTTACACTGCCTTTCCCAAGCCACTGCTCCCTTTGAAGCCACGCTGTGTGTGTGTGTGTGTGTGTGTGTGTGTGTGTGTGTGTGTGTGTGTGTGTGTGTGTGTGTGTGTGTGTGTGTGTGTGTGTGTGTGTGTGTGTGTGTGTGTGGGTTAAATGGACAGTGGAGCGTGACAGACAGACAGGCTCTCACACTCTGAGGCCCACTCTGCCCTCCAGCTACGCTTAGTTCAGACAGACAGAGAGGGAGAGACTGTGACAGACAGAAAGAAGCAATTTTTTTTTTTTTTTAAATTAGCTGCTTGTGTCCCTAGGCTGTGGATTCCACTGGGAAGGTGAGAAAGAGGGGGTGGATGGACGAAGAGAGAGGCAGACAAAGGACGAGGAATAACTACACTGAGCTTCTGATTGATGTAGGTGGTAATGCTAAATATCGTAAGAGTTTGTCCAGGTGTTTAAACCAGTAACCAGCCAATCAAAAACAATCATAACTAACTGGGTGCATTGTGTAAAGGCTGATCAACTCAGTCCATGAAGGTATGTGTGTGTGTCTGTGTGTGTTGACAGAGACTGATAGAGGTCAGGTGGTCACAGAACGACCATGTCCCCAGGGTACAAGGATATTAGCTTCCACCGACATCACACAGGAGACCTGATGTGTTATCCGACTACCATTACACACACACACACACTGACATTCACACACACAAACACACTAGTCATGCATGAACATACACACAACATACACATAACACCCCTAAAACATAACACAGTCGGGGTAATCCATCAACACCCATGAGAAACTGCCTCTCTGCGTCTTTCAGCCCAGTCCACTCTCTTCGTCTTCTCTCCGTTTAGTCATACCTGCTGTTTTGTCTTGTAGGCAGTAATCCGGGGAGTTCTCAAAGTAGACCAGGTCATTCTTGGTGGCCTTCCTGAAGGCTTTGTTAGCTACGGCAAAGCCTGTCCCGTCCTGATTCATTGTCACCTCGATGGCTCCGTTGTATTTTCTCCTCAGGTAGTCCCCGGTCTTCCTGAAGTCTGACATGGCCATCCAACATGTCCGCAGCGTGCAAGAACCACTCACACCGTGGCATTTACACTCCAGCTTCATGAATCGCTTTACAGCCTAAAAACATAGAGAGAAGAGGGATATGGGGTTTTAAGCATCATGACATTTGTTTCTCAAAATGCAGAAGCGCTTCTGGCATAATGTTCTTTTTTATTGCTGTGACCATCACAAACAAAAGGTTTACCTACAATGGTCCCGATTATATACTTAGAACTAACCTTTGATCATTTACTGTAAACTGTTTCTCAATAAGCACTCTCCGGATTAACGCCTACAAAACAGCTGTTTTACACAAGGTGTTAATGCCCAAGAGCTGTCAGTTTCACCAAAAATCTGGTTCTTTTCAAATGCATCCCACCTGGTTCCTATCAGTGATTTATAGGAAACCCCATCTACTGTATACATTGACAATTAAGTAACTGAGGAGGTTATTACAGATTGATTATTGAATAGTGACAACTCTAAAATGCACTCAGAATGCACTGCAATTTTTAACTGCATTTAAAAACTGGTATACTTTCTCCTTTGCCACATATAGATTTCATTTTAAAGCCAGGTAGAAAGGATGTTCATAATGCAGATTTATCTAATCTCTGGAAAGCAAAATAGCCAAAATCTGCATAGATATACCACAAGATTGAAGTGAGAAAGTGTTTTTGTTGTTGTACTCGAACACTTACTGTTCTGCCACAGCGGTTGTTGTGTAGGTTCATGAGCGCCCGTGCATCTCGGACAGTCCTTTCTTTGGCATCTATAAAGGCTTTGGCAAACTTTATCCCATAGTTGATGTTATCACTACAGCCACCCCAGTCAAAGTCTCCTCTGTCATCGCTGTCCCGTCCACGCTTGTGAGGGTCGCAGTTACACGTCTTCAGCTCCCCCTGGCTGCAGGCGCGAGTGAGCGCATACACCACTCCTGCTGAGGAGATGGCGTAGACGAATGCTGCTTCACGACTACCTGAGAAAGTAACACAAAGCACAAAAGAAACCAAGAGTTTAGACTGAAGTAGGTTAAAAAACCACAGCCAGGAAATTGCAATAATTCATATTTTGCTATACAATAGATTCTCTATGATCTAAAGACTTAAAATTGCACATCCCACATGTTAACATGCATTCACAGATACACATAATGCTATAACCCGGTCTGGGCCTGAGCCATCAGGACATGAAGGTGCAGCTGACGGGGGCATATCAGGCCTGATGTGGAGTATAGGACAGCTCTGTTTAAATATTATCATGGAAATAATCCCAGCTGCGGGGCTCTTCTCTGCTCACATAAATTGTTTAAATACAGACACAGTGATACCCCATTAATCAGCGCCAGGATGATGTCATGACAGCATTTTCTACCATTGCTGTGCTTTTCGGGTCTCTTTAGTTCCTTACAATATGACTCATCTATTGTGTGGCCAAAGACACATAGAGAATTAGATATAGTAGTTAGTCACAGTTTTTGCAGCACTCGTGGGAGTGAATTTCGCAAAAGACAACAGCCAAAGACAGAAGAACTTGTCCACCTTTAGTCACAGCCTAACAGACATATGGTGTTCACTTGGTTCCTCTGTACTCTCACACAACATAAAAGTTAAAGCAACTCAAATGCTATTTCAGATAGAAGAAAGGAATGCACCTAAAGTGACATTTTTGTTTCCCCAATGAGTAAATTGCTCTTCGTTATTTATTAATTCATTAATTAAAGTGCTGCAGAGTGAATTATTAGCTGATCTTGTTTGTTAGAGCTCCACTCGACTAACTTGACGTAGTCAATTGGAGATGAGGTACAGATTTTCTTTCTTTTTGCGAATCTTATTCAAGACATGAAAATTGCAAAATGTGTGTGATGTCCATTGTCTGTGTGCTGCACCATGCTCTTGCGGTTGACTTGGCTTGTTTTTTGAAATGCAAGCAAAAAGCAACATTTTCATTTACTGAAGGCAGCTTACAAAAATCACATTCATGCTCCCCAGATGATGAACTCTTTCTATTTTGGACCCTACTTAAATCTTTCTTAGCCCCGCCTTCAGGCTAACATTAATAATAGAATGTTTAACCCCTATCTACATGGAAAGTTTTAGTTTTAGTCTGATCAGAACCTCAATTCGCAGAATTTAAATGCCGTAGCAAACGTCCCATAATCCTCACGCTATACAGTATAGGAACTATCAACACATCAGATTTACGAATCGTGTTTTCATCCGACAAATCAACCTCTTAATACACGAGAAAAGCAAGATTTTGCACGTTCATTTAAAAGACTTACACTCAAGTACCAGCACTTCAAGCCAACATCACAAAACTGTCTGATATAGTAATATTTAGACATGACTTAGGGCGGGGCACTTTGTATCGGAAAGCAAGGTTCAGTCTGCGGACCTATCTGAACTAGCCGGGGCCAGAGGAGTCTGTGTGATCCAACCTGCTCGCTGTGTATTCCCTGGAATGTCCCATTCCATCTCCGTGGGTGAGGAGAAGGGGGTAGTGGGTGCTGCTGGGGGGGGGGCGCCGCATGTGGGGGAGGACGGAGGAGGGCATTGCTTGTCATCTGTGTGTGTCTGTGTGTGAGAGAGTAAGAGTGTGTATCTCTCTAAATATTTACATCTACATTAATGTTTATTCTTTTCCACCGCACACACGCACACACACATACACACACACATTTGCAGCCTGTATCTCTATATCTGCTATTTCCTTCATACATCGTGGACCCCCGTCCATGCTGAAAATGGATGGATGAGAAACAATAACATCTCAGATGCTAAGTCTTTGACAGAATCCCCTTATTTTGTGCACCGTAGAACCAAATCAACTGCTGTAATAAGATTAGACCACTTATTACTTGTTAGACGCTTTTATCCAAAGCATACTCAATACTGTGGACAATCCCCACATGAGCAATTTGGGGTAAAGTGTCTTGCCCAGGGACACAACGACATGCTGACTGCAGTGGGGTTTGAACCTGTGACCCCCTGATCCGAACACCAACGCACTAGTCCACTACGCCACAGCCTCCCTCCCACTTATAAAACAGTCATACATTTTTTTTGTGCAAAATAACCAGCTGACATCTAGGCTATCAGGTGTTTCGATGAAGAGGCCATGTTCCTCAGCAATGACTCACACTGTGTTGTTAGATGGCCCCTATAAGGAGGAACTATACTGTACTTGCAGAAGCAACTGGGAAAATATGTATTTTGGTAAATGCATGTTTGACTGTGTGCATATGTGTGTAGGCATGAATCTATTGCAGAGCAGAGAGATCTGGCAGAAGTGGAAAAACAAAATGACAACAAGCCCGCCTTTCGAAGCCTGTGTGTTTATTGACGAGGCATACGGCATTACAACAGTCCATTAGCGATTATAAACACGGAGAACCAGCGTACGTCAGCATGAGAAGGAAAGATTGGAGGAAGAACAGAGCAAGGGGAGAAGGGTGGAAAGGAAAAGGGAGAGATAAGGCAGCGAAAGTGAAGAAAAGGGATCTGAATGAGGGGTGAGATTTTAGCAGATGGGGCTCAGGTTCAGTATCTCTACTTTTTGGCTAAACAGTCAGTAATCAAACAGGAAGACGTGTAGACACACCCATGGACTTACTCCGTAGCAAGACACGTCCAAACACGGTGTGGTCGCGGTCCAGCGTGCTGCAGTTCCAGCGGTGGTGTCTGAACTGGTGCTGGCATTCTCTGATCCACTCTTTGGTGCCCTCGCCGATGGCCTGCATGATGTCTGGATGCCGCTGGCAAAGATGCCGCTGCTTGTTCACCAAACCTGGGATGTTGTCGCAGATCACACGGGCCCCGAGAGCACCGATGTACCTGAGGAGGCAAAACACACAAGAAACTACTAGGGGGTTTGGAACTAAATCACCATCTTCACTCAAGACTTGTGGAATATGTGGTGCAGGAGTGATTGATGGTATATTGCAATAAATGAGCACAGATAGGCACCCTCATATAGTAGGTGTGTACACATGTGGATACACACACACTCAAAGGTGGTGAGTGGCTTGAAGGAGAGCTGCGGTAACAGTCCTCTGTGAGTCAGAGTTCACTACACTTAACAGTTTAAGGTTTGCGAGCAGGAGGGGAGTGGAAACCATTTACTCCGCTCTTCAAATAAATAAGCACTTAACCTCTTCCCACAAGACTTGCATGTGTGTTTAAATGTTTCCCAATGGGATAGTTGAAATTGTGTCGTCACAAATCAGAGCACAAAGTCTGGGTCTTCCAATAACCCTGTCAAGCTAAGACCTCATTTACTATTTGTATTGTCTTCTGCCTTTCCCCACTAATGCTTATCTAACTCACAGTTCTCTTGTGTGTCTCTTCCAATCTTTCTTCCTGCCCTAATAAAACAGACCTATAGTATCCTAACAAGATAAATGCTCCCTCAAGCTTACCCAAAATATACTCTAGATCTCATTGTGTGCATCTCGGTGGCTGCGGGGCTTTGGCGGGTCAGCTGGTGGAGGTCAGGGAGCGTGTAGCTGTGTGGTCGGGTTTTACGAGGCTGGGCAAGAGGATGGAGACTGGAGGCTCTCTGCTCCCCAGAGAGGGATTAGAGAAGAGGAATAGGAACAGAGTGCTCATCAAAGGAAAGGGCCAGAGCAGCAATTCACACTTAATTTTCTCTCTTTCGCTCTGAGAGTCAAGAGGACTTGTGGATTTTATAGGATGGTAAATCATTATCCCCAGGTCTAAAACAACATGCTGTAAAGCCTTGGAACTATACTGTGAATCATAGAAGAGAGACAAGTAGGACACAAATTGAAAAGACTTCTATGACGCAGCTGATATTATATTGGCGTATTGTTGCCCTGTCGTCCTCTCAAGCCTTATTGGATCACACAAGGAACACTTTTGTAGCAAAAGTCATTGAAAGTACAAATTATTTCAATTTAGTCTTGGGATTTCCTGTCAAATGTTCTTAAGATACAACAGACAAGTCAGTTTGCTATTCTGTTACTTGTAACTTCCTGGCCAAGACATGCACAACGCTTTTCGTTCAAACACCTAATAAAAACTGTGGGTTCTCTTTATATTTCACAAGTAATCTTAATTCATGTTTGCAATGAGCATCTGCTATGATGTATTTGAATGACATAGGCTAATACATGCTTTTTTCCAACATTTGTCAATTTGTGACATGCCGCAATAATCTTTGCGATCCCCTCTGTGGTGTTAAAGGCCCCGATCTATCCATATCATCACTTACTGTACACCAACAGAACTTTGATAAACAGTTAGATACAGTATCTCCTGCACTAAATTCCCCTCAAAGCCAATAATGCCCCGCCAAAGCCATGACACACACTCTCTCCCACTACTCCCCATAACTGCTTTTAATCTACACAAACTATTAGGCATTCCATCACCCCCATACCCGCCCACACACAGACACTTCTCCTATAAACACACTCACACACATGGACATTTTCACTATGTTATTGTGCAGGCAATGAGATATTTTTTCACCCCTCACCTATGCTCTAGATGGCTGGTTTTGGGGTATTTTAGTGAAGTTTGTGCGCGGGCCTGTGCGTGTGCATGTGTGTGTGGTACCTGGTAAATTAATGACTGCTCTGCCTTGTTGAACGCAGGCCCCAGCTGAGTTGAAAACGCGCTCAGCCAACAGCGCCGAAATAAATTACATTTATCGCTATATTATTATTGCTCAATGTGGCAGGCCAGCAATCTGACACAAAAAGAAAATGCTTCTAGAAACACAATCCTAAAGAAGATTGACTCTAGTTTACAAAATCGTAATTTAGATTTTACAATTGTAATGCTTCATCGTGTTTTAGCTATTTTTTCCAGGCGCATGTCATTTTGAATTAAATTAAGTGTTGACAGAAAAAGCACATTCATTGTTTCTCTTTGCTGTTATTTCACATTAAAATTAATAGGGCAATACTTTCATGACTAATAATTGCCCATGAAACCAATTGCATTTGGATTTTTTTGCCGCAAAAATGCACACAAAAATGAATAGCTTAAATAAATACTAAAAGTAATAATTACTTAATTGCGTACAGTAGGCTATAGTGAGTCCGCGATAATAAATTAACGATCCTCAAACGTAATACTGGCCTTGTCTGTCTGCTGTTGGAAAATAAATGCTGTAATGGCATTTTAAAATCTTAACGAAAAAATGAACGCTTGTCAAAAATCCCAGCTCCGTTTCAAATGATTAAGATCAATAATAATAATAGGCCTGATAATATTAATGTTAATTGTTTCTTTGTTATTGTTTATTTCAAATAATATTCAAATACAGTACATTTCGGCCAGGTTAAATCTCAGGTCTGTAGGTGTGATGTGTGCAGACAGTAGTACTCACCACCACGAAGAGTCCACCCGAGGCGTCACCAGCAGCAGGAGCAGCAGACACGCACAGTAAATCCTCGAACTGGCACCGGAGTTTTGGCATGAAGAAGACCTGGGGGAGAGCTTGGCTACGGGCGAACCACTGCTCCGAATCCGGGAAGCACGGAGGCTCAGAATCCTGTTTAAACCTAGCATGGTTCTGCTCTTTTTTAACCAACAAAAATGTCCAAAAAATAAAAGATTTGAGGAGGGCAAAGACCGGCTTTAAAAGACGAGATTTAATGTGAAGTAGGTTAAGCACCCATTCAGAAGGTAGGCCTCATTATCCAGTGTGTGGCTCCATATTAATAGCGCAACTGTCAGGAGTGTGAGGAGCGCGCTTTCGGTGCCATGTGCGCACCAGACTCTCCACTGAGCACTTGTGGCTGCCGACAGGAGTTTCACCTGAGAAGAGCAACTAATGTCGGTTATGACACTTCTCCAGTCAGCCCCCCAAAGACTTATCCTTAGTTTTGGCTTAGTTCAGAGAAAAGTATATGTTCCGAATCAAAGCTCGAGCCAAATGTTGGCAGATGCGGGACTTGCTGCAGTTCGGTCGGCTGTGTGACTCTGTGCTGGGTCGGATGCTTGCATCGGACCTTTCCTTTATCAGTGCGCTGTGGACAGTCAGAGCTGAGAGAGAGAGAGAGAGGGGGGAGAGAGAGAGAGAGAGAGAGATGAGGGAGGGCTCGCCGCTAACGGCTCCTCTCGCCCATTGGGCAGATGCAGGGGTTACAGAGTTTGACTAATATGAAATTGGGATGTATGGAGGTGTGTGTGTGTGTGTGTGTGTGTGTGTGTGTGTGTGTGTGTGTGTGTGTGTGTGTGTGTGTGTGTGTGTGTGTGTGTGTGTGTGTGTGTGTGTGTGTGTGTGTGTGTGTGTGTGTGTGTTGTTGATAGGTGTCAGTTGAGGTGATGATGCTGTTGGGGTTGAGATGTTGGAAATGTGAGGAGTTCATCCATACACACAGTCAAAATTACTTTTGATTAATGTTGGCGCCTTCATTTTACAACCTAGTAAAGCCGGATAATTAAACCACAGGGGAAAAAATCAAATTACCAATGATTTTTTCCCCTTTTCTATGAAAAATGTAGATGCAGAAAAATACCAAATGTCCAAAACAGATATGTTATAGTGCATATGTTATTTTCAGAGATATTAAACATCTAGTGTTATTGTCAACCATTCCTAATTACAACCAACATAATCATATTCACTGGGCATCTATTTGATTGTAATTGTAATCTTCATGCTGTTCCAGACATAAATCTAATCCGTTCACTTTTACTGCGTAACATATACGGTAATGTTAACACAATGTGCCATGCAGCTGCGGATAGATTCTTTCTTCCTTTTGGCTGAATCTGGCACAGTTATATCAGATTACCTTTATTAGTCCCACAGAGGGGACATTTACATTGTTATCAGATTAATATTAAGAAATGTGTGCTGTGCCTTTATTACGATATCAATAAAGTAAGTAAATCCCTGACATTGTTTAAATCATTATGAAATCAGGAGTATTGTTTTTTTAGTTTGGGTTGCCAGATTAAAGGAGAAAAACTGGCCCATTTCCTTAAACTTCGTGGAATAGTGTAGCATGGAGAATTTTTTTTTACCTTTGTTACGATTGCAAGATCTGGGCACAGCCTTAGTGGACGTCTGTGCTTTTGGAGTCTCCTTGAAGTTATAATTATTATTACAAAATGCGTATTTAAATTTTGGTTATGCATGAAGCCATGCACCACCTCAAGTCCAGCAGAAATAAAACTAAGAGAAAAAAGAATGGGAAGGGAATGTGGGACAGGGAGAACAGAGCCAAATAGTCCAGTGGAACAGCACTATGGCCTAAATATGAACCACATGTGTAAAACAGAGAGTGCTGAGACAGCGCTGGAATATAGCACACACACATACAGTACAATGTCCCTGGAGAGCGACCATCCTTACCTTTTTTCCCATGTGTGTGTGTGCATCTTCAGGTCGTCTGTCGGTTTGGCAGGGAGCTGTCCTCCATCATCAAATCTCTGATATTTCTCTTTGTCCTTAAATGACCCTTGACAAAACAAAACAACTTTGAGTATCCAAAGATCGATCCCAAACTTTAAAAATGTTAACAGACACAAATTCACACAGATTTTTTATCAGCCCAGACTTGAACTTCTCCGGCTAGTTTGTGATATTGGATTTAGAATGCCACAGTTGGTTCAGCTGACCCAGCAATGCTACAAACAAGTAAACAAATCAGGAAAATCCTTGTTGGAATTGAAACTATTAGAATGTCGCAAACTGCTATTTCATCAAAAGCTTGCGAAAAAAGCTCTTGTGTTTATGCCAAAGCTGCTGTTAAAGCTAAGCTCCTTTTAGAGACATTTGTATTTCTGCTTAAAGCTCGGCAAGCAGGCAGGCTGGCTGCTGTCAGAATCGGACACACACACACACACACACACACACACACACACACACACACACACACACACACACACACACACACACACACACACTTAAACGTTTTTAGACACAGACATTCAAAAACAGCAAGACTAGAGTGGCACAGGTTTGTGAGAGGCCGCGAAGTGAGGCAAAGAAGCTCAGATCTGGTGAATACTTGTGCCCGGCGGCTTAGCTCACAATTTTCTGCTAAATCAAAAGGAATTAGGGAAGCACAAACATGGCTGAGTTATGCTCTCTCTCACGGGGCCGGAGCTGGAACAGACTTTCTCTCTCTCTCCTAGCCTGTGAACTTGACCCCAGCTTTCTCCTCATAAACAATAACAGTCAAACGCCTTTTTGTCAGTTGGAAGAAAAGTTTGCCCTGATGTACGAGGTCCAATCTGGCAACCATCTCCTCAGAGGAAAAGTACTGAAGGGGGTTGCTATGTTTAAATCCTGCACTGGGGTGAAGGAGGGATAAAGGTGAGATTTACAGAGGCGGTGGGTTTTTGACTAATCCAATTGATTCCTGTCTTGATACATTATAATTACTCAGGATTATTTCTGATAGGGAAGTTGCAGGGGGAAAGGGGAATTGGCTGAATGAACCAAAGGCAAGTCGGAAGCATGCTCTGTAGGTGGAAGAGTTGGACTAATGGTCCAGTAATGTGTCCCACGTGGGGATTATGCTGTGGGCTGTCACCATGCAGTCAGCAGTCCAGGGATGAGCTCAGCAAGTATTCCCATCGCCTGAGGAGCAGGGAGGACAGCCTGTCATCAAACAAGGCAGAGTCACGATTGGACACACATTGAACACCATGTTAATGGAACGTGAACAAGGGACAGGTGGGAGAATGATAAAGTCCAAAAGGAGATCGAATTAAGCAGGTTAGGGAAGGATGGAGGGTGCTACTGTGTCCAAAATAATCTCCATATTGTGTCGTATGCTTTACAGATTGCAAAGCTCCTTTAAGCAAATTTGGGTACCACTTTACAATAAGACTACCCTTATAAAGGGTTTACGAATAGTTTGTAATTAATGTATTAATTAGGTTGTGAACACTTTATAAACCATTAATAAGCTTTTATAAGACATGAGATAAATAGGGCAACTGTGACCGGTTGCTTGCCAAATAGTGAGCCCACATTTATCTGTGCTACTGCTAAGTCTTATATTGGCTAACTAGCTTACTTTGTCTTCTTCATCAGCCTGCATCCTTGGTATCTGTTGTTCACTGAGTTGATTCTCTCGCTAAGTAGCCAATATAAGGCTTAGTCATCTTGCCAAATAGTGAGCCTGTGTTGATGTATAGAAGTGGTTTATAAATCGTTCTTAATGATTAATAAAGTGTTTAAAACCTAATTCATAACCTAATTATAAACCCTTTATGAATCCTTTATAAGGTTAGTCTTATTGTAAAGTGGTACCAATTAGAAAAACCCTCATTCACCATTGCACTACTAATAAGCTTTTAAACACAATCTGTTACTTAAACAAGGATTGACTGATGGTGGGAAAGGAAGGGTCATGAGGACAGTGTAGAAGTTGGACATTTCTTGACTTATTTAGGCATTCAACTGAACTGAACTTCCTTCTAATGAGGCTTTGCGGTACTTACAATGAATGCTTCCACCACTTCTTCTTCTTCTCAACTGTCATTTCTCGCATGGTCACCAAGCTGCAATTTTGTATATATCCCAATTTACATCACAGTTGAATTAAAGATTCACCTCACTAACCAAGATAGTTCTATCATGGGGAAGCTGTGGCTCAGTGGGATTGTGCACTGAATTTAGTGCGCTGAATTTTGAATCAGGGGATAGCAAGTTCGAGTCCCACTGCAGTCAGCATGTCGTTGTGTCCCTCGGCAAGACCCTTCGCCCCACAGTACTGAATGTATGTAAGTCGCTTTGGATAAAAGTGTCTAACAAGTGACATGTAATGTAATGTAATAATAAACTGGTAACTTAGCATTGGTTGAGCTAACAGTACCTCAGTGGGTCTTGATATTCCACATAAAACAGCTGTGATTTTAAGTATTGAATACATCACTAATGCTGCTATTTTTCAGACAAGGTCAGGGTTATTTTCTCAATAATAAATGTATCTAATTTCCACGTGTTTATTAGCTGTGAGGATAAAAGCACCAGGCCTGAGTGGCTGTTTTGATAATATCAACTGAGAATCCAGTAGCATTATCTATAAAGCTAATGGAAGGTCATAATACCACACAGAGCCTAAAAATACACTGTTCTCCAGGGATATATGAGCCACAATGTGTGTGTTCACGAGTATGCGCACATGCATGCATGCAAGCCAGAGATCCAGGTCTGCGATAATTTATTGTCCTGTAAATTTAGATCTGTTGACGGAGATAAACTGCCTTGAACAAACACAGCGTTGCTGGAGCTCCAGAAGCTTCTGAAGCATTTGGCTAGCTCACAGAGAAGGTGTTGGGATCTGTTGTCAACCATTTTCCCCTGATCCAAAGGGTGCAATGAAAGGCATGCACATTGAGAGAAAGAGTTTGCTTACACAGATGCAAATAAATCACCACACATATACTGTTGTATTATGTACCCATTATGGTTAGCCTCAACAGGGCTACGCTGTGCATACCTGTGACCCCATCCTTCTTTATCCCCTGGGTAGTCTGAACATAGATGTGATGGTGATAACTCTATAATAGTATTTTTGCCAGGTCGCTTGAGGATGCCGTCATGCTGGAC